GGAGCAGTGATTTCTCAGCATTACAACACATCTTAACTTTCGAGATTGAGGATCCTGTTGCGAATCTGAGGTTGTTAATAACGTTGCTCATATAATTTACTTTCCTACTATCCTGTTTCATCTCTACCATCTTTCTTTTCTTTCCCTTAGTGCTGAAAATTGTTAGAGCTCTGACTAGCATCATTCAAATAATAATGTGGTGAGTTTAGGTTGAATGTTCTTCCTTGTGTTGTCTTTAACTTTGGCATGTTTGGATGTGTGTAAATAAGCAATAATAAAACCCATTGCCATCCAGCCGATTCCGACTCAAAGCGACCTGATAGGACAGGGTAGGACTGCTCAATAAGGTTTCCAAGGCTGTAAATTTTTATGGCAGCAGACTGCCACATCTTTCTCTGTGGAGTGCCTGGTGGGTTCCAACTTCCAACCTTTCGGTTAGCAGCTGAGTACTTAACCACTGCACCACCAGGGCTCCTTATTAAGTGATAATACAGAGAACTAAATCCTCATTTTCAAGATGCTGTGGTGACATTTCTATTTATTAAAATACTGGATAGTTGTGAGAAACACAAAACCACAAATTGGGGAGCCTGCCATATTTCTTTTTTCTCTTTCAAACAGATTCACAGCAAACAATAACAAAATAACTACTAAACAGTATTTATATTACCAAATCAAATTTTAATTTTTGTCACTGTACTTATATATATGTTCACAAATTTTTTAAAAATTTTTTGTGTTATTCATGCCTTGCTTCACTTGATTATAACTGATAAACACAGTTTTGTTGGATCATTAAAAATAATTAAAACATAATTTTATTCAGTGTTCACATACTTTTTGTGTTCATTTTCTTTTATCATTTTTTCATATACAAAATATCCTGTTTTCCCATTGTTCACATTCTGTACATTTTTTTGGTATGATTAGATTCTTTTACATTTTTTTGGAAATAATTTTAGACTTATAGAAAAGTTGTAAAACTAGTTCAGAGTGTTCCTGTATACCCTTTACCCAGCTTCCTCTAATGTTAACATCTTATATAACCATTATAGTCTATAATTTTTAATGACTAAATTTTTCAACTTGGCTTCATTTATTCTCTCTTATGTTGTTGATCATTTTGGTTATTTTCATAACTTTCCACAAATTAACTTTTCTCCTTTTTTTGTTTGTTTTTGTTTCTCCTTTTTTTGTTTTCTCCTTTTTATGTTCTCCGGTTTTTATTGCTCTTGTTAGATTTTGCCAACTGCCTTGTAACAGTTTTTGAAAATTTTTTTGTGGAATTTTAAAAAGTTAGGTCACATGGATCAGTTCCTCTATCTTACTGGAGTGAATGATCAGTAGGGCTATTTCAGCCTAGGTATTTTTCAGGAGAGTGGAGAAGTTGAGTGAAACTCATCAACATTAATGCTTGAGCCCAATCAGTTACTCAGTCAACTACCCCCAACACATAAAATGTCTTACATAACCATCATATTCTAGAATTTTTAATGACTAAAATGTTCAAGTTGTCATCATTTATTTCAGTCTCTGCTATGTTGTTGACAAGGTTAGACTTCTGTGAGCCTCTGGTGATGTTTTCATCATAGATCAGTCCATATATCCTTGTTTTATGTGTTTCTGTTTAAAGACACCTTATTTAATATCTATTGATGTTTTATTAACATTTAGACCTCACGACCAACAGCACTATAACTCAAGCCTGAATGAACCTTATCTAACACAAATCACAGACTTCTTGCACTTAGAAACACTTGACAGATCTTCAGCAGTACACTTGGGGGTAATTTTAAACAGTGAAATCACCAACAAAAAGCATAAAAATCCAAAAAATGTGGCACTAAATAGAACATGAACAGGACACTTATTTACAGTGTGAGAGTTGAAACAAGAATGCAAAGAGTCGCTTTGTTTGACCTCAGCTGGAAACATGGGTGTTAGGTGACTCAGTTTTTTTGCCACTCTGTGCGTGTCTGTGAATGATCGCCAAAGCGCCGAAAGAACTGATTCTGGATTACAAATAAATTTTAGTGAACAGATGAATTCCAAAATACAGAATCTGCAAATAATGAGGATCTGCTGCCTCTGTTGCTTCATAGCAAACAATCATCAAACTTGGCATGAAGTGTTTACGATTATATTTGCTCACAATTTTGTAGTTTAGCAGTTTGAGCGAAGCTCAGCTGGGTGGTTTGTTTGCCTGTTTCACCTGATGTCACTCGCTCATGTAGATACATGAGCTATTTTTAATGTATAGCCAGCTGGCAGATGGGATGGAGGGGCTGGTTGATCAAGGGGGCCATCAGTTGGATTGGCTCACTTCTGCTCCACGTGGTCTCATCCTCCAGAGGCTTGCTTAGGCTTCTTTGGCACTGGAGCAGCCAGCAGCAAAAGAGAGCAAGATCCAATGAGCAAATGCTTTTCAGCCTCTGTTTACATCATGCTTGCTGATGTCCTATTGGCCAAAAGCAAGTCACACAGCCCAACTAGAGTCAGGATGGCAGGAAGACTCCGCAAATGCATGGGCACAGGGAGATGTGGTTTATTCGGGGCTATTATTATAGCAGTCTACCACAGGGCTCTGCCTTTTAAGAATTCAGCCATTTCTCAAAGCCTCTACTGCTAGTACTTTGTAGCATTTTGGTAATAGGCGTGTAACTGGACTTCCATTGTCTCTGTTGTTGTTAGGTGCTGTTGAGTTGATCTTTACTCTTAGCAGCTCCGTGTGACACAGTAGAACTGCCCCATAGGGTTTCCTAAGCTGTAACCTTTTCTGGAGCAGACTGCCAAATCTTGTCTTCCATGGAGCGGAGGGTGGGTTTGAACCGCTGACCTTTCGGTTAGCAGCCTAGGGCTTACAGAACCTTTTCAGATTTGTCTTTTATCACCATCATTCTATGGAAACTTCTTTTAAAAGCCAGCCTGACTTTTTAATAACCAAGCCTTATTTGCTAGTCTCAAGTCTTTATTATCTTCTTCTTCCTACTTCCTATGGTATGTTCCCTATGAGTCTTTTTCCCTCTTTCTGCTGAATCACCAGCCTCCTCTTTTCTCTTGGTTCTTCAACATTTAGACGTGCTGAAGTCTCTCTCGTCTTAAAATTGAACACACACACACCAGAAAACCAACATTTTGAGACTAATCTCCCTCCTCCTTTAATTCTTTCTCCTTTTCCAGTCATGTTTTCTCACACCCCCATTCTCTTTGTAATTACTGTGATCTGACTTCGTTCCAAAACACTCTCCAAAAACTCCACTTTCAGTTTGCCAGTGACATCAGGTCACATTGGCATGCTTTGGCCTTGCTATTGCTGACCGTATCCTTCCCGTAACTCCTACCTGCCTTTCAAAACTCAGCCAAGGGCTACCTCTTTTGGAGAGCTTTTCTTAACCCTTGAGACTAATGTGGTTGCCCCTGGTATTAATCCTCTTGTTCCCTGGTGCATATGTTGACTCTGACAGTAATCACACCTGCTGAGGTGCACAATCTTCTTAATTGCACTGTATTCTTATTGAAAGATCAGGATCGTATCTTTAGAGCCCGTATCCTAGCTGCATTCCTACACTTACCTCAGCGGCTGCTGTTGTTTTGTGCTGTCTAGTCGGTTCCAACTTATAGCGAACCTAAGTACAACAGAATGAAACACTGCCTGGTCCCGTGCTGTTTTCACAATTGTTGCTATGTTTGAGTCCATTGTTGCAGCCACTGTGTAAGTCCATCTTGTTAAAGGTCTTCTTCTTTTGTGCTGATCTCCTGCTTTACTACTCATGATGTCCTTCTCCAGGGACTGGTCCCTCCTGACAACATGTCCAAAGTACACACGACAAAGTCTTGCCATCCTTGCTTTTATGGAGCATTCTGGCTGTACTTTTTCCAAGACAGATTTGTTTGTTCTTCTGGCAGTCCGTGGTATAGTCAGTTTTCTTTTCCAGTACTGTAATTCAAGTGCATCAGTTCTTCTTTGGTCTTGTCCAGCTTTCACATGCATATGAGGCAATTGAAAATACCATGGCTTGGGTCAGGTGTACCTTAGTCCTCAAAATGATGTCTTTGTTTTTTTTAACACTATGAAGAGGTCTTTTGCAGCAGTTTGCCCAATACCATACGTTGTTTGCTTTCTGACTCAGTGGCTAGAGTACAGTAAATACTGAATGCACACTTAAAGACAGACTCTGGCCATATTCTACTTGGTGAGGCCATTTCTTCCCCTGAGTTTTATACTCTTGTGTTTTCCTCTCACCTTGGAATCTGTATCTTACTTTTTTTCCCCCTCCCATCTACTTGCCTGCCTTTCTTATGTTCCAGCTGTTACCTGTTCAGCTCCTGTTATTTGCCATTCTTTATGTTAAATGTTGGTGATGAGGGCCAAATGAGAGATAACTGTCTTTATAGGGTTTTGCCTCTAAATTTAGGAGATTTCTTAATCTTGTTGAGATTGTTTTTATCCTGAAAAAGGTATTATTTACAGTCCTTCATAGGATGGGGAAGAATCAAATGAGCTTGCATATACAGCGTATGACACGGTGCCTGGCACATAATTAATATTCAATTAAGGTTACAGGTTAATAATATTAATAGTAATAAACCATATATCATATATGCATTATCTATATAGAAGCTATTATATGAACTATAATATATAAATTATGCTATTATAGAAATTTTTAAAATGATAATGAATAATACACAGCATTGCTTTATGCATCAATATATTTTTACATTTATCCCTTTTACAAAATGGTGACTTTTTCACCTGTTCATTTGTTGCTTTTTGATTACAAAAAGCTTCTGTCTGAACAATTTCAGTGCTAAGCTGTCTAGTGCAAAGTTCACCCTCGAAGAGGCTTTCATTGTAGCTGACCTTTTAAAAGCCAGTTTTAGTGTTGAGATACTAGTAACTATGTATTTCTTTAAAAGCTTTCCATTTAATGATATATTTTGATTAACTGTCAGCACTTTCCCATATTCACTAGGTTAATTTTCAGGTCTTCCTACTTGACTGTAAGTTCTGACCAACATGGTAGTGATGGTGTGTGTGTGTGTGTGCGCGTGCGTGCGTGCGTGTGTGCGTACGCAGACTCACCATTTCCAAACACATGCTTAGTGATTGAGTCTCTACCAGGATATAAGCATGGAGACCATGTTGCTTAGTGCCATAATACTCCTGTTGTTGCGTTGTGACCACAGGAGGCAATCAGAATAGTTACGAAGGATGTCAGTATTCATTAATTTAGTACTATTCAGGAATATTAGCAAAGGGAAAAGATGCAGTAGAAATCTGAGGAGAGATGGAAGATAGGAGAGAAACGTGGTGTTAGAAGAATGATCTTTGATCTTTCAGAGGAGAGGAATACATATGAAGAAAGTAAGAGCTTATCTATGTGGAAGAATTTACATGCAAAGCAAATCAAGAACATATATCTTACTTATCTTTGCAGATTTGAGTCTTGGTCTGGGATAGCCAGGAAAAGCCAGGCTTCTACACTAGGGGATTTACATGTTTGTGTTAACTCAATTAGCATTAACAGAGGCTACCAGTAGTGCTGGCTGTTCGGGCTCAAACTTTCATGCATATGTATTTTTAAAGAAAACCAAAAGATTTTAGGGATCATTAATAGAGAAAAAAGATTTATCAAATGTTGTGGGCTTGTATTAACATTTGTGTTCTGAAGTCTACACCAGGAATAAAGGCTTTTTTATATAGGAGAGAGCAAAATTGTATCTTATAGCCATGAATGCATTTTCCAGATTTATAGTAGGAAGTCATGGACTTTTCTTTCACGTACAGAAGGGGCAGATTTGTAGCTAAATGGTAGTTTTCAGAGTATTTAGATTTATGGGCAAATTATAAGAAGCAATGTACATTTTTTAAAAGTTTTTGAAAAATAAATATTGGTTAGGAAAACTAGACTCTTACTATTTGGTGATGGTTCTGACTCAGATCCTCACAGACATTGCGGTACCTAAAGTGTTGCAAAAGCAGACATTTATATGGAGATGGACTACTGATGTAAAAAACAAAACAAAACACAAAAAACTGAGGGCTGGGAAGGATATGGAATGAGTACAGTATTTTAAAAATGAACTCTTTGTCTCCCACCCTCCCTCATGCCCAGATCTCAGAGAGGTTTTGTCCAGTGAGAATAAAGAACCCATGGGAATTACCCAGGAATAGCTGGCTAGTCAAAGAAATAGTTTTACTTCAGTGAGCATGGGTGGGACCCGAAGTCTACAGTAGTCGGTGATGCTTTTTTAGCCTCTTCTTGGCAGGTGAGCATTTGCATAGGGGAAATGCTGACTCATTGGGGGAATCTCAGGCGAATTCAAATTCCCAAAGTGATGCCCCTCTGTCTTCTCTCGGGGATTTTATCTGATATTAGAAGCAGCAGTTCCATTCCATGAATTTGTTATCACTCACTGGCCTGATGCGCATAGCCAGTTGTCTTTCCCCAGTGTTAAATTTGCTCCTAATACTCACTCCTACCCTCAAGCACTTGGATTACCTGATAAAATCTCACTACTTATTCGAAGAGGTGCCATCACCTCCTCTAGAAGTAATCTTTCTCATTTCTGAACTTCCATAGCATTTATTGAACTCTTATGACACTTACTATATTTTCCTTGTTTTTAAATTACTGTTTTAACTTTGAAAAGTTTCACTCATATACAAAATAAACAGAATAGTAGAAAAACCCACATATACCCATCATGTTTTTTTTTTGTTGTGTGCCATCAAGTGGATTCTGATTCATAGTGATGCTGTAGGACAGAGTAGAACTGCCCCATAGGGTTTCCTAGGCCTTTGGCCTTTTTCCCACTGAGACGCTGGGTGCGTTTGAACCTCCAACATTTTTTAACAGCCAGGCTCTTAACCATCGTGCCACCTGGGCTGTTTATATCAATCATACAGCTTCAGTAATTATTAACATTCTCTCATTCTTGTATCATCTATACGTCCCCCTCTCCATCCCCACTTGATTTTGAATAGTAGATTGTGAGCTCCTTAAAGTCAGGGGCTATACTAATACGCATCATAATTTTTAAAACTTTTTTTTTTGTGATTTAAAATATCATATACTCATTGTGGAGATATCCAGTGTTCATTTTTTGGTTACTGTGCAGATTCTAGCCTTTCTTAAATGAAATTTGTATATTACTTTTTTGACCTAACGTTTTACCATGAGCATTTCCAATGTCCTTGAATATTTTTGGAAGCATAATCCTTAAAGGCAGCATAATATTCCATATTATGGATCCACTATAATTTATTTAAACAGCTTCCTATTTTTGACCACTTTCTTGAACATCCTTGGACATGTCTACATTTGCAAGGATAGTCTTAGGATAGTTTCCCAGGGAATTAGTAGGTGAAATCTCTTCCAATATCTTGCCGAATTGCTATCCAGGAAGGCTATACCAATTTGCATTTTTTTGTCTTACTAGCTTGGTAGTTGGAAAATGAAATCTCATTATGTTCTTTTTAAAATTTATACCTTCTGGGTTATTAGTGAAATTGAACATGTTTCATCTTCATGATTCTTATTTCAAGGGCTAAGGAAGGTGTTACTTGGAATTGCAGTGAATGGTACATGCTGTGTAAAAACAACCAACCAACCAAACCCATTGCCATCGAGTCAATTCCGACTCATAGTGACCCTATAGGACAGAGTAGAACTGCCCCATAGAGTTTCCAAGGAGCACCTGGTGGATTCAAACTGCTGACCTTTTGTTTAGCAGCCATAGCTCTTAACCACTACACCACCAGGGTTTCCACATGCTGTGTAGTTTAACTCCAAATCTAGTGCTTTGCAGAGATGATCAGTTTTCTTTAGCATTTCAGAAATCACCTTTTGCCATCTTTGGAACCAGAATGTCTTCCTACGTGCGGAATTACGTTAGGTTAGAGTTAGTCTTATTTTACTTTTTGAGTACTATCTTTCAAAATTGTCACTTTGTATAATTTTCTGCTTTTACATCATATAACTTTATTGAGAAATGTAATTCTATGAGGAATTATTTAGTTTAGGTCATCATTCTTTGTCCAAGAAATGTACTCAGGTCTAAATCCATTTTTAAGTTTTGAAAACAAAAATCCTTTATTTAGATAAAAGGTTTTTGATCACTCAGCATATTTAACTGAATTTATCATATATTTAAAGCTACTTCTGGAAAGAGTTTAGAACTCTATTCTTAGAGTACTTGGTGCAGTTTGTATATGTAGTAAAATCAAAGTCACCATTATTTTCAAGTCAGTTTTTTAATGCTAAGGTTTCTCTTTTGCTTTGTGAAATTTCCGAAACTCAGCTTAGGAATTGAGTCAAAATATTTACATTATTAAACTATTGTAAGTAAATACAGCTTCTGAAAAAGCAGAGAATGCTTTTTACTACTGAAATGACTTCATTACCTAATTCTAGACTGTAAATCCAAAAGTAAAAGTTGCATTTCATTCCTTTTTCTGGCCCTTCATTGCTTCCAGTCATACTTTGCTGAACTATATTCAAGTATGTTGAAAAATAATTTACTGCACTGTGTTAAAAAATAATATTAAAAGTATATGGGTTATGTGGAGGAAACACTCAAAACATATCTACCCAGACATCAACAGGATATTATTACCCCAAAGAAATGACGACAGTTTGCCAGTTTGATGCGTAGAGGAAGGAAATTTACAAACATCTCCAAGAGAGGCCTGTTGAGCAGTTGAAGGAAATGAGGCACGTCCTGCTTTTATTGTGATTATTGGAGTGGGATTCCCAGAAGACTGAACAAGGCTGTCCGGGTCCCTCTGTTTGGCAAAGATCTTGTTGACTCATATTTTATTTTTATTTCGGTAAAGGTCTGCTATTGTTCGTATTTCTAATGTAGCTCATAAATTCACAGCCAATATTGTTTCCCCTTCTGTTGACTGTGTAGTGTATACAAATAAATGAAACTCGACCATCATCATTGACTGGTGTTCTGTTTCCGTGAAGCATAGGAGAGTAACAAGGCAGGTTCCTTAAAAGAAACGCTTTTTAAGTGGAGATCTGTGTTCACAAACTTTGAAAGTTTCTGAAGTTTTGTATTAGAGTTTTATCATCAAATGCATCGGGTGGTGGGGGGGAGTTATTACTTCCTATTCATATGGAAGATGAAAGCAGAGGTAACTATTTATGTAACTTGTATTTTGAAAGTCTAGGCTCCATTAAAAGTTTGATTTATCTACTTCTGAATCCTCTGCTCAGAAGCTGAATCACTAGATATTTTTGACTACGGGTGGAGGCCTGATAGAAAAGCTTCCAGATTGAAATGCCTGGTGTAGAATCTTGAATTCATGTAATACTTTAATGTATTAAAAAATTTTTCTATCAAGTTGCTCCCGTGTATATGATAAAGTAATGTGGAATATTATAAACATTTCTGCTTTCTTTAAGCGCTGACTTTGTTGTATCTATCAAAATGCCTAAGAGTATCGTAACTCTCTTTACAGAGAAACCTCGGAATGGGATTCTGCTATGACTCAGTCTGTTTGAGGGGCAGGCTGAGGGCTGTAACTGGAGTTGAGGTTATGAATTTGTACCCTCAACCTTGAGTCAGAAGATGTGGTTACTGTCAGTTTTACTCACTGAGTGACATTGCAGAGAACATCGGGGAAGACTTGGCCTTTGTTTCATAGCAATTTAAGGGAGACAGACATGAAAGAGACAAATAGTGTGAGAAAGTGGAAAGCTAGTGTTGGTTAAAAAGCGCTGGTGGTGCTTTCAGTTTACTTAATTATTCCTTAGGATTATTGTTTTAGAATTTTAGGATTATTGCTTTAGATATTTTCCCCAGTCATTCTGAACTATGAAGAATTCCAAAGAAAGTTATCATTTCAACCTTTTAAAGGTATGTTTCAGAGTGAAGATAGTCCTGATTACCAAAGGAATTTCCCTGGCTGGTGTCCTAATATTTTAAGTTCCTGTGACTTTTTTCTTCCCTTTCCTCTTATTTTTGGCTCAGACCCCCAGTGATGTCTGGTTTTATGAAATTTGTGTGAGAAACAAATTTGGAGGATGTTTAAGGGTTTAAAGATTTTGAGGAATGATGTGAACTGCTAGGTCATCCTCTGTTCCTCTCGTGCAAAGGGATTGAGGATTTGGAGGAACCATTTTGGACACCTCATTACTCAGCTCTTCAAAAAGAACTCAATTTTGTTTACAATTCTGGGGGTGCCTTCTACATGGCTCTAATGTCAGAGGACATCAGATATTTTCTGAGTATCATGTTCTATATAGTGAATTAAGGCTGAGAAAATGGTTAGTGGTACCAATATCTGAACTGGATGAATGTGTGTGTGTTTGTGTGTGTGTGTGTGTGTGTGTGTGTATTTTTGTTGCTGCTCCAATTACTTTTAGGTAACTATGGTTTTAGCAGAGAAGAGAATAACTTAGATAGTATCAAAGCTTTATATATCATAGGCTCCCACCAATATAATGTAAAAACCTGCCCTGTGTCTAACATTGCTTCAGGAAGTCTTTAGGAAATATATTTTGGGGATAGTAAGATTGTGAGTAAAATTGTAATGTTCCTTGAGTACTTATAGAAATAAGACCCACACAGATACACTTTAATTCTAATTAATCTTTTGGTGTGACTTAGTCAAGGATCTGCAATGAATTGCACTCAGAAATGGAGTATTTTTCCTGTTTAAAATATATAAAGATTTAATAATATTTGAGTCTTCCTATGATTTTTGAGAGATTTACTCTAATGTTTACTTCAGATCATCTAACAGTTAATCAAAATACAATTTAAATTTTGTTTGGATTTTTTTAAAAGTCAGTACATAAGTTAAAAAGGAAACAAATTTCTTACCGGGATTGTGAAATGAGGACTTGTGTGCCTAGCATGTATTGCAATTTTGTTATTTGCATTTTGTTATTAAGTATTTCCAGGAATAAAAGGGTGTGCACAGCAACACTATTTATGGTACAGATTTCTGGCATTTAAAAATGAGAGAGTAAGTATAAGCTGGGAAGGGTGGGCTTGCCATTGTGAAATCTGTTTTTAAATCCCAGCACTACCGTTTGCTAACCGTAACCTTGGGCACACAGTTATTTAGTTTTTTTGTGCAGTGAGGCTAGTACAAGTGCCTACTTCATTAGGCTGTGAGAATTAAGTGAGTTGATACATCTAAAGCACTTAGAACTGTGTTTGGCTCACAGTAACTGCTCAACACATCCTTTCTAGCTATTAGCATCATCAAATTTAGAAAGGAAGGATACAATGAGGCAGTTTCTCGGTTGTCATTAGAAATAATAATTCAGTTTGAAAATTCAGCAAACTATTATTAGCATTCAGCAACCCTTCCCAGAAGTGGTGGCAATAGAATTGTTGTAACATTGGAAGATTCAGGAATGGCAGTCTGGTTGGAAGAGAGGGGATGGGATGGCTCAGAGACTTAGTTTGCTTAGCAAGTCCCTGACTTTACCTAGACTCTACTATAAATCAATTTAAAAGAGCAAAGTTTTCTAAAGATGCTTCTAGTTTCACTTTACATAAGAATGAGAAAATGTCAGTTGCACATATCAAATAGTAAGAGGTCCCAGAGGCATTTTGTTGGTGGTGGAATGGTAGAAGATTTTGGGGTGTACTGTGTGTGTTTGAAGTAAAGTCTCCCAGCCACCGATTCTTTCCGCCACTGGTCCTCTAGTCAGGAGGCTTCTACCCCGGGCCACCTCTGCTCCTGACCTTGCTCCTGTATCAGCTTGTGGGTAGAAGTTTATAGGTTCTGTGTTCACCTCAGTATTTCCTCCTAGTTTTAGTCATTTCCACGTTACTTCCTTCCTCTTACTGGAGTGAGTGATCAGTAGGTTATTTCAGCCTAGATATATTTTAGGGGAATGGAGAAGTTCAGGGAAACTCACCAACATGAATACTTGAGCCCATTCACTTCCTTGATCGATTACCCCCAACACACACAGTACAACCAGAATCTTCTCTCCTATTCCCCATCCACCAGTATTTCTTCCTAGGTTGGGCTTCAGTGGTTGCCTTTGTGGCTGCTACCGTTGCTGTTGCTTTACAGGTGCAAAGATACTCACTTCTTTGCCTACACTTGGGTGGTTGCGTGTTAATTTGCAACTAAGCTGCATAAAAACATGTGACTGGTAAGGAAAAAAGAAAAGATAATTAGAATAGTTTTGCTGGCATGGATGAGTGTATGCTTGACTGTGGAAATGTCTGTTGTGTATGTGTGTGTTTGCCTGTGTCCAGGCATTTTTAATGTGTGCATTATCATAGCTGATGTTTTTCCATAGGACATTTGGCTTCCTCTTGGAGAAAGAGAAAGCGGTTTCAGAATCTGGAAGCTGAGCAGAAGATTCCTGAATATCTTTTTATCAAAACTTGGTTTCTTCCTGGGAATTAGGAGGTTGCAGCCATAGCTCCTCTTGGTTTGCTGGAGTTATACTTAATAGAAAGTAGCCTGATTCTCTCTGCAAATAGAGGAAGTGCAGTTTTATAACAGAATCACATGGGTGGAGGATCATTGAACCAGAGAGGAAACTTCTGTTTGATTTCTACTGCAAGTGGTCAGTATTTCTAGATCTGAAACAATGATAAAAACATGATCTGGTCTTTAAGTAAAACTGATAGGTGAGATTTTATCCTCAGAATTTGAAATCTTTAAAGCTGGAAGAACAAGCTTTCCAGCTTCTTGCTCACTCCTTCATCATACAGGTGAGGAAACCATTGTTCAAAGACAAGTCTTTCTGTAGCTTTCACATTGAAAAGTCAGGTCTGGAACTCGGACCAGCTAAATTCAGGTCTAGTGTTCTTTCAATGTAAAGGCATTCTATTTTTTATTTCTATTAATAATCTTTATTATCAGTACTGGCTAAGCACATGGACCAGATCCCTAGTTCGTGGATTTGAAAGTTGGTTCTCCGTGTCAGAGGTGTTTGTTCTAGTCACTGTCTCAGTTTCCTCACCTGTACGAAGGGGTTAATAATTTCTTAGGACTGTTATAAAGACTCAGTCATTTATTTGTTGTACGTTATTTACAAGAGTGCCTGGCATAAGTATTAGCTATAATAATAATTGTTAATATTATATTATTAACAATCATATTCTGTAATTATTTTATTTTTAATAATCATGTAACAATATATTGTTTTTAGATATCTTAGCTTGCTATCCAGCCTAGTACAATAAAATGGTGGCCTTGTGGAATAGTAGGATTCCATAATTATCTAGCAAAATTTAGACCATAAACCATTGAACATCTTGCCTTATTTTTGTGTGAATTATTTGGATTGATTAAGTGCCTTTGGTACCGGGCTGGGTTACCATCTGCTGTGTTTTGCCTCCGTAGGTCAGGCTTATTCTTAGGGAATGGTGAGGTGGAAAAAAATGCCAGTAACCTAACTTCAAAATGTATCCTGTCTTGTTCACATTTATAGGACAGTTTTATTGCTGTAGGTAAGATGGATAACTGGGCATTATTCCAACATCTTGGCAGTTTTCCTTTTCCAAGGTACTAATATTAGGATTAGCATGTTGTTTTAAAGCCATTGCCTTTCTGCACCTTAGAATTGCTTGTTCTTGGGGGAAGCTTGGAACATTTGAATTAGGGTTTTCTTGCCAAATATGGGAGAGGATGTCTATTTTGTTATAATACTTTGATTGGGTTTTAAAGTTAGTACTGCAATCCATTCTGACAATAGTCAAAACAAATTCAAGGCTGTGTGTGAGGCCGAAGTAAAGTGAGGCAATAAATATCATGGGAGCAAGATTGTTACAGCTGTCAATTTATTTTTTTCTGTTTCAGTTTATTTTTGATATTGATTGTAATGTTCAGCCATGTAGTGATTTGTTCATTTGTTATGTTTCTAAATCAAAGCCTAGGTGGATTAAATTTACAAGAAGAAGGTTGAACTCTTTATAATATAGTCATATTTTCTCTAAAGCATCAAAGAAACCATGTTTGTACTTACAGCATATTGTGACTTTAGTGATTAGACTCTTTTTTGCTAATTTTAGTCAAATATGAGTAGGGTTTCAGATTGTCCTAGAGAGCCTGGTGCTGCAAAAGTTATAAGTAACTAGTAACTAGCACTCTTCACATGGAGAAGTAATCAGCCCTTCTTCTGAATGCATGGAACACTTTTTTTTTTTCTGAGATTTTCTTCGGGAATTTTAACTTCCTACTTTGTATTACTATTCTTTAAGCTTAGGAATCAGTGTGATAGGGTGAAAGAAGCTTGCATTTTGTAGTTAGACAGGCCTAGCCATGAATCTCAGCTCTTAGGATCCCTAGTTTGCAGAACCTTGGGCCAAACTCATCATTTCTTCCTGAGACTCAGTTTCTGTCCTCATATAATTGTTATAAGGATCCAAAGAGATAAGCTTGGAAAGGGCTTAGTCCCCTAGATGCTCAACAGGTGTGAGTTCCTTTTTCTCCCACGTGTGCATTTCTTATCTTTTTTACAGACTTCATGGGAGCAGCATTATGGATTCACACTTACATTCTTGACAATGGTCTTCATACCTAATAGATACCCTATATGTGTTGTAGAGTGAATACACTTTTAGAAGAGCAGAGGAGATTAGAATAAATACTTTAGGAGAATTAGAATAGATTTCAAAGAAAAGTTGACCGTGCCATTCCCTGCTTCCTGCTATATATGTTGTTAAGTCTGCAGGGCCGTATTAGTGTTACTGCCTAATTAAACTGAATTCCCCAGGAATGTACTAGATATAACTGAAATTCTGTAATTTGACCTGAATGTCGTGGTACTTTAGCTGGTTATTTTCTAGGTGTTGGTAGAGGTTATGAATCAAGATTTGAGTTCCTATTCATGGAGGACCACAAGGAGATCTGCCAGAGATCTGGACACTTGCTAATGTCACTGTGACCTTGGTTGGGACAGTTGTCCTCTTTGGACTCAGTTTACTCATCTATGATATAAGAATGTCTGTTCTGCCTTCCTGTTAGGTTTTACTTGAGAATGAATGGAATACTATGTAAAAATTCTGTTTACAAGTATAGGAGAAGGTTGGTTATAGGGGTTGATGGTGATGATGATAAAGAAGTTGATGATGCCAGGAACACCGAGAATCCAGATGGAATTCATGCCTTTTTAGCTTGGAATTTCCAGGAGAGAATGGTGATCCAAACTTTCTATTTCTGATATGCATTGCACTGTATTCTACCAGGAAAAATGGACCTTCAGAGTTTGACACAAATAACTGTTTTCTTTTGTTGGTGAGGGTCACTCTTAAAGGCATTTTCTATTAAGATCACCTCACACATGAGGATTCTCAGAAGTTACAATGTGCTTCCCTAGTAACTAGGTAAGGTAGTTCAAATAAAACACATTCAGAAAAAATAAGGATTCTATGAAAAGCAATTAATATCTGTTGGTAAGGAGGTGGCACATACTCGATGTTAACAGTAGACATTTTTTAGAAATTGAAATGTTACCATGGAACCAAAGTATTCCACTCTGTTTGAATAACTGAGGGTACCTACTTCTGGCTGCCTGTTAAGATGAAGTTCATGTTCATTTTACGTATCGTGCTTGAAGCTTCTCATGCTGTGAAATTTTCCTGTCTGTTAAGAACTAGTTTCATAAAAGAGAATTCGTTATTTTCTTTTAACTTGTAGGTACCTTGTATTTAAGTTCCTTTCCTTAACTTGTATGTAAATCACTTCCTCTTTCTGAAGAATATGAGATGTCATAAAAGGACTATTTATAATGCCACTGGTTGCTGTTTTCAAAGCTAGAGTTTTATGTTTACATTTCCCCATACTGTCTGGCTTTGTAATCCTTGTTTTAAAACATTCCAAAATAGCAGCAAAAGAATAAATTGTGAATTGGGTGTATTAGGTTTGTCCGATCTGTTTATTGAGCTGTTTCTTTATCTGGCTACCAAGGACGAGCTAAACTTCTAATCCAAGCTTCCTTTACTTGCTCTTTTGTCCTTAAATGCCACGATAAACTTCAAAAAAATATTTTCAAGGTAACAGTGGGGAGAAATCTATATGAGATGCCCCACAGATAAGTTTAAGGACTTTATATATCTAAATATAATGAAAACTAGAATCCAGTAACATCAGATTTAAGGACATAGGGGTTGGAAGAGGATCCTGGTGAAAGACATAACATCTAACTCCTTTTCTCCATAATGAAGAAATGACAAGTGTGGAGAGGAGAAAAGCTATCATAATTAGTGTAATCTATTTTGTTTAGTTTTATTACTTAGGGGATTTTGAATTCATATGAGAATTGCTGAGGGAAACAATTAAGTTACAACTAACATTTCCCTTGTGTTGTTAAAACCTGTACAACACTATTCATGAGTTGCTACTTCTCTCTGGCCGTTTCTTTTTGGCCAGTTCATGGTTAGTGTTTGGTTTTTGGGGCAGGGGTCCTCTGAAGGGCTGCCCACAATCCACAAAGCCTTTCCCTCCTTCTGCTGAAAGAAGACACAGCTGAAATCAGTCTCGTTGCCTTTTCATGATATGGGGATGCGGGAATCAAAGTCGGCAGGATGAAAGCACAGAAGCTTCCTGTTTCCAGCTGTTTTCCTCAGCGAAGATTTTTTTTTTTTTCCCTCCCAAAGATGATGCTTCCTTTCAAGGGGTTTTTAATCTGCAAACTGTTTCCTCAGTTTATTTCACTACAGTAAAATGTGTTCCCTCTAGGTCATATCTGTCTCTTTTAAAACCCAACCTGTCCTTTTCAGCAGTGTGAGTTGCTACTCAAAAGAACAACCGTGATTTATAAAGTCCCTTTAATAAGGTTCAAAGACCAGTAAACCTTTGCCACTGGAGTTTCGTGGTTTTGGTTGCTTTATTTTCATTTATGAAAAATTTTAGATGTCAGAAAGCCATTGAGAACACTATTAATTTGGCCATTTAATATTTGTAAATAAAGCAGTTAAGAATAAAATATGTTGTTATAGCCTTAAGGTTTGTTGTGTTTTGTTCTGGTTTTTTCTTCCAAACGCAGTATAATGATGTGTAATTTGTTTAATGTAAATGCTTAAAATTAAGGCATGGAAACTGCATAAATGATAAAGTGAATATTAAGAGTGCTTTGATTTATTAAGTAATGATGTGAATAAAAATCTGTGACTTTTTTACTGATGGTTTTTACTTCACTCCTAGTGTTGATGTTGTTCCTAAAGATACATTTGTAAATTCTCCTTCTTTTGGGGAGAAAATGAAATATAAAAGAAGGATTCTCTTAATCACTTGTTAATCATAATCCAAAAAATACTAACTAGACCTTTCACCAATTTCCTGGGATTTTCCAGGCTGCTTGCTTATTGATGATAATCATTCTGTATTGACTTGTATTTATTTCAGTGAGCTAGCTACACTTAGGAAACCCTGGTAGCATAGTGGTTAAAAGCTATGCCTGGTAACTAAAAGGTCAGCAGTTCGAAGCCACCTGGCGCTCCTTGGAAACCCTATGGGGCACTTCTAGTCTGTCCTGTAGGGTCGCTAAATGAGTACCAGTGTGGGTCAAAAATTCCCCGTTTCTCTATCACCTTTTTTTCCCCAAATATCCATATTTACCTCCTAAAAATGGGGAATTTACCAGCAAGAGGCTTCACGTCGTTGCTGTTATTTGAGATAATTCTTTGTGATATAATGGAGCCAGTGGCATATGGAGGAGAGCCACCTCATTTCATTTGCTCTTTACTGCGAACGCTAACATATGCTTTTA